GGGATGGGTATATATACATTTTAGTGCTGTCAATCGATTAAAAAAATTAACTAATTAATCGCACATTTTTTCTCACACATTTTTTAATCCCACCTAATATTAATGTTTTTAAAATACTTTTACATTGCAATAATTTCACATTCAATCTTCAAATTAACGTAGAAACAACAAAGACAGTATAATGGAATTATTTTTTTTGACTGAAGGCAAGTATCACTGATACCAATACTACTGATATCTCTAGGAAATTGTTTTTTCCCCTAATATTTAACCATTGACTAGCCATTCAACATTACAAGAGCTGTTAATTTTAACATTTATTAGAATATTATTAAAATAACTTCTAATTTAAGTGAACTTAAAACAATCTTCACATAAAACATTATAATAAATGTCATATTTAGTTACCTGTGCCCTTCAGCAAGTAGGAAATATACAGAAATTGAATAAAGTTATCAAACACTAAATTCTAAATTAAATATAGATTAATGCTTAAAGCTACAAAAGTGATTGATTTCCTCTTTTTTCTTTTGATCTTTAATTAATAGCAGCTGGTTATTAGGTGTTTAGGCTGCTATTTCTTTAAGAGCTGCCACTGCTAAATGTGCTGCGAATCTGACACGCACCTCTCTTTACCTATTCTGACCCACTTCAGGTCTTAAAGTCTCTACTACTTGAATTGAGTTGAACCGAGGGTGTTAGATGAGGGAGACAGTGCTGGGGTGCTCCAATACAGTTTGTAAAACCACTGCATTTCAGAGACATGTTCTTAAATGTGACTCGTATAACAAATACATACATACACGCATAGTTTTAAGGCAGCTTTAATTGCCTTTTTGGTAACTTCATAACTTAACTGATGACATAACTACGGCATTTGATATGAAATGATACAGTCTACAGTGCGCGATGGCGCATTTCTTGTCAAAAATGAGACAGAAACAGCAGTTCTGAGTGGGATGCAGGGGCGGATCTAGAAAATATTTTTTAGGGTGGCATGGGGTCTATGAGGGGTGGCAACACCAAAGCAAGCCCCCATGCATAGTTTTTGGGGATTTATGGTCTTACATACACAGTTGTGTTCACAAATATTGTATTACCATTAAGTAATCATCTATAGCCTACTGTTATCTCAGAGGGGACATGGATGCATTTAACCTGCAGTTACAGATGAATAAATAATGTTTTGTTTTTAACATAAAACGTTGAACACTGTTATTTGAAATGATTTTAAAACATGAAAAAAATTGTCGAAATGTAAATTAAAACCACCAGTAGGTGACAGCAAGTGACTGACGAATGAGTGAGTCATTGAGCTTCAACAGATTCATTCAAACCGCTGATTCATTCTGGAAAAAAGCATTTGACTGTGTAAATGAGTGAATAACTGAATCATTTATTCAACCAATTCGTTCAAAAAGTTGATTCATTCAGTAATTAAACACCGTCCATTGCTCAGAGACGCAAAACAGTGATGTGACCTTTGTTTGGAACTATGTAACGAATATGCTTCGGGGAAATGTATCGGAGTAAATGTATACATTTTAATTAGGAAATGTAGTGGAGTAAAAGAAAAAAAGTTGGCTGAAATATAAAAACTTAAGTAAAGTACAGATACTCCCAAAAAATACTTAAGTACTGTAACGAAGTATTATTACTTTGTTACATTACACCACTGCCCGCTTATTACATGGCTAATTGCCACATAAGTAAATAATTAGACACAAAATTATTGATTTGATTTGAGTTTAAATATTTGAACGCAAAGCTTCCATGAACACAGCAGTTGCAAGCAAGCGGCAAGTTCAAACTAGATTTAAGACGAAAATGTTTTAAAATCTTACCAGTTTGTTAGTTATGCTATTAGTTTCCGTGATCGGCATCTTCTTATTGATTTCATATTGTTACGACTTATATCCATGATGAAAGTGGAGCGAGCGGTCGGAGAATCGGATCACCAAACAATTGCGCGATGAATCTCAGACATATCCGGACGGATATTTCCTTATCAGACATATCCGGACGGTTTATTAAAAGACTTTTGCCATTATTTTGCGTTACTCTGTCATCGCCACATCTGAAAAGTAGCACATAAAGCACTGGTTACATTTATATTTTATTCTGTGATAATTCTGGGGTGGCACGGGGTGGCACAACCTTTTCTTAGGTTGCCCGTGCCACCCCGGTAGATCCGCCCCTGGTGGGATGGCCAACCCTATCTCCGTGCCTGCGTTAACTGCGTTAAGTAAGGGATAATGTACATCCAGCCAGTTGTTATCGCAGAATGGGGACATGGGGTAATGTCCTCATAAGTCACCTTCTCCTTGTAATACCTATGTCATGGTCGCTGTGATTTTGCCAAGTAAGACATGTTCCTGGATCAACATCTTTTGATGATCCTGGATAAACATTATTGTCCAAAAATATAAACTTAACCCAATCCCTACCACTAAACCTAACCTTACCCATAATTTATTCCTAAAATCAGTGGGAAATGATAGCTGATTAACAAGGGTGTAGAAGCACCTAACCCTGATTTTAAGCCTAAAACAGATATTTCCTGAAAAGTTATATCTCAATTCTGATTGGGGGAAATGATAGCTGATTAACAAGGGTGTAGAAGCACCTAACCCTGATTTTAAGCCTCAGACAGATATTTCCTGAAAAGTTATATCTCAATTCTGATTGGTTGATTGGAATGTTGTTCCAGGATCATCAAGGATGTTGATCCAGGAACATGTTGTACTTGGTGAAACTACGCTCACCATATATATACTGTATATATATATATATATATATATACTGTATATTCTTACAAAGAAGGTCTATTATAGGCTACTAATATAATTTTGTGTGTGATTTTGTTTGTTTGGTTTTATGTGTGACTGGAAATCTCAAGCACTCTCCCCATATTATCAGGTAAAGCACTTGCCATCCTCATTGTATACTAAAATTTGTACATATCTGTCTTTTGAGTGGACAGTGATCTAGTTAGTTCCTAGATATTCTTTGGTAGTCTCTTGTTCATGCCTAACATAACATTTGTTCAGGTGTTCATCTTAAATAATTAATGTCTTCATTGGAAATTATGGTCATTGTATGGTTATTGTAGTAAAAATCTCACACTCTTACTCATTCTGCTCTAGACTTGAATTGTGGATCAGAAACCTACAATCCCCATGAACAAATGTGTTGCTCAGGGAATCTGTATAAGAAGGCATCAGCACTTACTAAGGTATTGCTTTTTGACCTGAAGCTTAGTTTTGCAGAAATGGAAATTCAAATAAATTGGAGATTTCTCTGAACACTATTATTTTCAGTAATATGCTTATTAAAGGGGTGGTTGATTGTGATTTCACTTTTTTAACTTTAGATAGTGTGTAATGTTGCTGTTTGAGCATAAACAATATCTGCAAAGTTAAGACACTGAAAGTTCAATGCCAGCGGCGATATTGTCTTTTAAAATTATGGCAGTTTAATGCCTACAAAAACGGCACATAGGGACTACAATGAGCTACTTTCTGGGTTTGTGACATCACAAACCCAGAAATTTACATAAACCCCACCCCCGGGAACGTGCAACAAAGGGGGCGAGGCCATGTGCTGCTTTAGAGAAGAGGAAGAGTTGTTGCCATGCCGTCTAAACTAGGGGTGCTCGAAAAAATCTATTCTTATATGAATCGCGATTTTGTCTTCAAACGATTCTAATGGGCTACGTTCACACTGTCAGTTTTTGGGATTGACAACCGCATTTTCTTTACAGGTGTGAGTTTCGAAATGTCCTGTTCGCACAGCAGCTTACAGTTGCGTTTGGAATACTGTCTGTATGAACGTGCAAAAGGAGTCAAGCTTAGACAACTAGTTGTCCAGTCCTGTTCCGTTCACACAGCGTGTGTGTTCCGAGAATGTGGTTGTGAGTCCTGAAAATTTACAGGTGTGAGTTCGGTTACAGAATGCGGTTGTCACGCCCGTAAATAACTGAACTGTGTGTGAACGTAACCGCATTAAGGACTCAAATACAGGACTGACAACCGTATTCTGCTGCTGTGTGAACGTGGCCCATGGATTCACAAGTTTCAAAATCAATGTTCTAAAGCAGCGGTTCTCAATCCTGTTCCTCGCGTCGCCCTGCTCTGCAGTGATCTATCGTTAGTCCCGTCCCCCTGCACCGCAACCCAGTTCTGATGGGGCTTACAGTAACCCTCCTTCGCATCACAATCAAATAAATCTCACTCCCTGATATTCATATTATTATACATAATCCCTTATGAAAATTAGCAATGGTATTACTATAGTAAAATTATAGTAGGCTAACCATGTTTTTTTTGGCGTTTTTATTACCAATTGTAGCCTATAACCACAGTTTTACTACAAATACCATGGTTAAACTATGGTTAGTGTAGCAAAACATGTTGTTTTCACCATGGTCTAACTATAGTAACCTTGCTTTTTGGTTGTAACCACAGTTAATTTTCGTAAGGGATATTTTCATGTTATTTTATATCTTTTT